TTAAAGAAGATAATTACAGTGAAAAATTTAGGGAAAAAGCCTATTTAAGTAGTAATTAATTAAGAATAAATATAAATTTTATCAATTAATTATTACATCTTTATTAGATAAAAAAAGTTATGTCTATTAAAATTAAGTAGAGGGAGTAAATATTATTAGTGTTTTTTTAACGAATCATGTGTTTAAAAATTTGTTTAATATAATGTGTTTTGGTAACATATTATTATAATTATTAGGAAAATAAGAATAAAAATTTAATACAATTAAAAGAATTAGTACTTCTTGTTGGCATTGTTGCTCCATTTCAAAATACACACTGCAAAAAAAGTAATGTTTAGAGGCGATGAAAATTGTCCCCATAGGCATTAAAATTCGATTGCAAAGGCATTGGGTACAAATTTGCATTCCCATGGTGGTTCTCTAAGGTGGCCTACCTAAAGGTTTTGGGGATGCGATTTTTGTTCCAAAAACCCTTTAGGGACGCTGTGTTATCGTATTTTTGGAATGATTCATGCCCAATACTTTAAGAGACGTAATGTGCCCTGGAAGACTATTGGGGACAACACATCTATTGGGGATGTAGCATTCCCAAAACCATTTGGGACGATACATCACAAAATCTTATGGTACAGGCATGTTATCGACACCTTTGGGGGCAACACATCACAAAAACCTTTAAAGTCTTTGGGGATGCAATATCCTAAAACTTTTAGTATAGACATGTCCCACAAAAGCATTGTTTTGGGGACAATAGTGTCCCCAGAGAATGCAAGCTAGGTACGTTATCATCTCGAACATCTTTGCTTTAGTGAGATGAATCCTTAAAAGCTTACTTGCATTTATTCATCAATTCAATTTTTCATTTAATTGTTTTAATAATTTCTAATTTAATGACAGCAAAGAGAATCTAATAAGAAATATAATTTAATAAAAATTGTAAGCTTAATTTATGTGTTTAATTAAAATAGAACAAAAGTTATAAAATTGTACTTTAAACATAACAAAGAAGTGCATCAACAACTAAAAAAAATCTAAAAATGCTAAGAAATGACTAATTAAGATGGTATCTGTATGTGAATGTTTTCCAGCTGCCACTCTTCATCTGAATATATCACCGTTCGTGTACGTCGCATTTCTTCAAATTTTCCAATCATTCTTTGAATTCTTTCATTGCATTGCCATTTCTTCTCCCTTTCTTCTTCATAACCTCTCTAATATTCTTCATGTTCTTTCAACTTATTCTTCATAATCTCGACATCATTCTTCACCGCCACAACTTCTAATCTAATTACAATTATTGCCAGCTTCTAGATATGCAAAATGATCTCCAAATTCGTCACTTTTAGGATCAAGAGCATCGCTAACCCAACTAATAAAAACATACAACAAAAATTTAAAAACTCAAATTAGTATAACTCTTTTTTTTTTCAGAGTGTTAAATGGAAAAGTAATCAAGTGAAAAGAATTAAAAAAAAAAAAAAAAACAGCTTACAAAAAATAGAGTAAAAAAAATTCAATTAACACATCTCAGTTCAAAGGCATCCAAGAATTATTTAAGAGCATATGTTAATCAGGTAAAACAATTCAATGATGGAATCCTATCTACAATTTTGAATTGAAATTAGCCCTACTATGGAAAAAGAAGCCCCTTTGCACACCAACCCAATCATGAACTTGGTAATTTTTATCATCACACATTTGAACAATGGAGCTAATATGGTAATATTAGTTTAGCACAACAGAAAAATAAGTATTAGAGAAGATAGTTAAATATGCATGCATTTTCCTTAAAACCAACAAACTGTAATCACTAGACAAGACTGTAAAACTAAGAATTTTTATTAAAAAGACGAGCAGAACTTCAAATGTTTATTACTCCCTAGTTTAATGGCAGAACATGTCATAACTACATGTATTGCATACAGACAGCTATATTACATAATAAGGAACTTTCCCCTCACAGTATTTTATTTCCAGTTCCACGTCATCGGCTACTCATCTCCATCCTTTGCTAACTCAAAACAGAATCATGAGAAATATTTTAGTAGACAAAGATATGGGAAGGGATATGAAAGCAGACGATTGTCTAAAAGTAGTACCTTTCTCGGGAACGACACTTCTGGAAGTATAATGCAGAAAACACCAACAAGTTAGAGGGAAAAAAGAAATAAACCCAAATGGGAAGGATGGACTTATAATTGTAAAGTCCCAAATACAAGCCTACAAGCATAACGATGAAGATACAAAAAGGGGTGAAGAGAACTGACCCGTGCATTAAGCTTCAACCACAGGTACCCATAACCACAACTGCTGGCTTTATACGTCCTTTCTGCTTCCTAGCAACTGACCTTACCTAGCATCCCTTAATTACTAATTAAATTAACATTTAGCATATAGAACTCAACTCACAGAACCTTCCAGAGAATAGTACAAAAATGACACTTTGTATTACAAATGAGACAGCGTGTTTTAAATGAAATCCATCGCTATGAATTTTCATGAAACCACCCTTTTTTATACTAGCAACCAAATGGCTATCACCCATATTAAACTAATAGCATGGTACCCTGACTATCTAGATGTATCAAGCAATCCTCTGGATCATAAATTAATACTAACCAACAATTAGCTGCATTAACAAGGGAATGTTTCTTGATAACAGTAGAAAAGAGAATGATGTAATTGAAGAGCAATATAGTGACTATCTGATTATTATTCATCTTCTATATATATAGATATATAGCTCCAGTATAAAGGAAAAGGATTAGACTACCACTCTAACCTTTGAAGCAAAGGTTCCTTGTGGCCAACCAAGAAGCTCAGCCATCATTTACTCTGTCTGATTGCAATCATCATCAATTGCTTACACAAGCATTTGGCTAATAAATTAAATCTTGCAAAAGAGAAATAACTCAATACACAAAAATTCATGTATAATAAAGTCAAAGAATTTGGATTCCTCAGATTACTTCCTTCTGAAAAAAGACATATTCCAATCAAATAAACAATTTTATTAAAGCAAGCTACAGAGATTCAAAGTGACTATTTTGAGTAGGGCATGCGGATTTCTCTCATATCTTGATATAGGAGGGTAGCAATAACAAGGTACAACGGGAAACAAAACACAGCACAAGATAAGGTTCTAGGCCAAAAGTGTTTAGAGCTAACTACAGATTATGAAATAATTAGATTCCAGTTTAAGTGAAGTCCGCCAATTAAGATTCAGCTTATATAATAACAACAAATACCAGTTTAGAACTAAAGTCTGAAGTATAAGAAAATCACATATGAACTTACAGAGAATTAATTTGGTGATTCTGTTTTGATGTCTCCTACCAAATCAATCAAAGGCAAGAGCCACACTTTCCCGTAAAGAATA